AGATTGAGAATGATGATCTGCTACATCTAAGATGACCAGTGATGTTAATACAGGTTACAGGTTCAGAGAGTTTAAAGTAGAACACCCAAGCAGAAGTGTTAGATATGGCAATTGGTAGGGAACCTTCAGGTGGACTTCTTAAATAGGTAATATAGAAAAATTACACGTGTAGCCAATTGTATGCTCTCCTGTAATGGTTCATTGAACCATAATACTGATAAGTAATTAATAAAAATCAAAAGACCAAAGAGATCACCTTAATACCAAAAAAAAAATAAGCTGAAAACTAGTTCAGAAAAGAAAAGTATAATGTTGCTTAAATGATATACTGGTTAAGTATATAAAAGAGTTTAGTGATAATTAATAGTTAACAGAACAGATAATTAAAGAGTTTAAATAAATAATTTCTTAGTAGATTATAAGTATAACAACTAGTATAAAACTCTAAGATAAACTACTTAAATAGATAACTAAAAGTTGTACATATGATTAGTTATATTTTTTTTTATAAAAATAATATAAACTAACTTCAATATGTTAATAAAAAATTATCATAAAGTATAATTTTTAATAATAATAATAATAATAATAATAAAATTCAATATTGTTTGTTTATATATTATTATACAAATTTGTAAGAAAGTTTGCCAAAATGTTGTTATACTTATACGTATCTAATTTAGTAATATTTGATTTTATTTGTAATTTTGTAAAGTTTTTTTGTTTTTTGTAATTTGTTAGTAATTTTGTATTTAATACTGTATAATCTTATATTAGATTGTTATTTATATCTATTACATCTTTTAATAAAATTGTTCATAATTGTTAACATAAGGATTTTCTGAACTAAATTTAAATAGTCCTTATGTTGTCATTACAACTTTGTTTTCTTTTTCTTGACACAAGAGTTTTAATCCTTGTGATATGTTTATAATTAGGTTTTTCTTAGAAATATGTATTTTGAGAAAATTTTATAATTCTCTGCTATTAAAAACACAGAGAAGAAGAGAGTTTTTCCACTACTCACATAACTCTGATTAAATTGACATTTTTGAGACATTAGTAAAAATTTTCAAAATGTTGATACAGTGAGTTATACTGACATTTTATATTAAAAATGTCGGCATAGAAAGACTTTCCTATGATGTCGTTATATCCAGATGTCGGTATAACCAGAGTGACGTGTAATGAGTGATATGGAATCATTAGAAAATTTTTAAATCAGAATTTTTGATGACATTAGTCATTGCAATACAAATAACATTATATCGACATTATTTAAAGCATTAAGAAAAAAGTTATATCAATTGGTGATGTATTATTTATACTTTTATTAGTATACTGTATTTTTAAGGAGAATAAGGATTTGTTTATTTTTTAAAAATCAAAAATCTTAATCCTACATATATACATTTTTTTCACGTATACTAAAATGTACCATAAGTGTTCATAAGTGTTGAACGCTATATAGGTAAATTTTGTGAATAAGAAATTGAACTCCTCGATCGCTTCATGATCCAGCATTACCAACAACATTTCACGCTCGCATGGTGCCCAACAAATTTTTTAAAAATTCGTTTATAATTTACTATTCAATTTTATAAAGTTTTATATCTTAGTCATTTCTAAATAACAAAAGATAATAGTACTTTAATAAATTGAGTTTGTATTTTTTCATTAAAAATTTTCAGATTCGAATTTTAATAGCATTTAACTTTCAACATTACTGTATTGAAAAATACAGATCAAGTAAATTATTTGAACATTATTTTCCTTTTTAAAATTTGGAATATTTCATATTCTGATATCGAGAAGCGAGAGCCGTTACTTGCATATCTAATTGCCCTTTCATATGAAGAATGACAACAATAACATTGATCATCTAGAGTGAGATCATGACCCCTACCAAAAGATGGACCCCTGTCAGAGCCACTATAAATCGCATTTTGTGGATATTCTACACGACTTAAAATAGAATATTGAAAAGCGCCATTTTTCAACGAAAAAATAAAGCTATCGTTGCAATTTACCCAATTCTTAATTGATTGATCCCATTTTAAAGGATTATAACCACCAAGAATTTCATCGCCATCTTTAATTTTTATAATTACAATAGTATTTGCATGTTTATCACATAGATTCCAAAATGATTCTTTAGTAAAACCATCTCTAGTTCCACGACAAAGTAATTTAAACTCATATGGATTATTTATTACTGAATAAGCTTCAGTTCTCTTATCGATCCATGATGCGATTTCTGCTGCATGTTCTTCACTAATAACTGTTGAAAATGGTTCGGTCGTTCGTGATGGTAATTCAGGTGTTAAAACTACACGAGGTGGGAGAATGGTTGATGATATTGGTCGATTTGGATTTAAAGCTTTTTTTAATATGTCATCCCAAATGTTTTCATCTAAAATCTGATGATATGGTTTTATATTATCAATAATATCATCACCAAATATTTGAAAATAACGGATATGAGGCAAACAATTTTGTAGTGTAGTTTTTAATATTAGAAAGTTCTCTTGAGTCCAGTTCTTAGGATTAGATGGTAAGTCTGAATTTTGAGCAATTCCCCATTTGATGACATAATTCCAAATTTTCACTTCTTCCATTTGTAAGTCATCTCGCTTAATTATAGAAACCAACGCGTTTTCTTGAAGTGATGTGAAATCTTCCGAATCGAAAACCTTATTCGGATATTTTACTATAATATCATCGCACCATTTTTGTAATTCTTGAAATTGTTCATATTGGAAACACAATTTATAAATATATCCAAAGTGTAGACGAAGCCAGTTAGCTCCCTTTTTAATTAAATGAGTTTCAAGATATTTAACCAATTCTTTAAGAAGGAACTCGCAAGCAACAAGCAAAAGTTCAAAAACAGATGATGCGTCTTGATCTTCTATTAAAATCACTCCTCCATAAATATATCTTCATTAAATTAATTAAAATTAGTTTCTCACATATATAAAGGATACTATAATAAATATTTTATATAGTAACTCACTTAATAATGATTTCAAATTGTTTAATAGAAATATGTTTTAGATTAATTGTCTTAATGTTATTAATATCTTTGTTAGTTTTGGCTAGTTCATTACGAAAATACAAAGACCTATATCTCAAAACATTTGAATGTGCTTGAAATATTTTGGTGTTTGGTGATTCTCCGACATTAATGATTATATTAAAATCTTCTTTGTCATCAAGAAGTTCAAGGTAATCTGTTGAAAGTTTTTCAAATAATTTTTCTGCCATTTTAGATGAAATAACGTCAAGATGCGTAGCTCCGAGAATTCCGGGTTTGATGAACTTATCTTTCTAAATTATCAGTGTATCTTTTTAGAATACCACGTTAGTTGTGATGCAATCCGTGTGCAATCAATTATATATATTACGTATTTCAATTATTCAATTTCAAAAAAAAAATTTGAAGACATTAATCTTGAACGGATTACACAAAAAATATACGGATCATACGCACGACCTTATTTCCCACCGTGATACAAACCAAAAAGAAAATTTTAAATGTAGATCGCAGGACCAGGTGTAATGCGAAATTTGTCTGTTATTTTTTTAAAAAATCGCTAGTAACTTGAAATTTTGCCCAAAAAACTGCCTTTGATGTTCTAACAAAGAAAATTCTTTGCAAAAATTTTTTGTTTTTTCTACGTAATCCTAAAAATGACCTTAATTTTGACTCTAAAATTAAAGCAAATTTACCGCAAATAGAAAGTTTATTATTTTATATGTTTGTATCACGGTGGGAAATAAGTAAATCCCGGATGACGAAATAATAAGGATTTGAACTGTTATACTAATTGATCAATTACGTATACAAACTACAAAACTATAACATCTATAGAAACCTATACTACATGTGTAATCCGTATTATACGGATTTAAACAGATCGTATCGCTAGTTTAGACAAAAGCTCTAGTCACGAAATTTCAATTCCGGTTCTTATATTGAATACAAGATTAAATTTCAGGGACTTATAATTCAAGCTTTTACGAGTTCAACATAAAGTGATATTTCTCGCTTCGCTTGTTTATGATTGTAATCCCGCTAATATCCTTTCCTAATTAAACAGTATTTGAAAATTTTGACGTACAAGAATTTTTTATTTAAATTTGGAATTCGAATTCTTAAGACCTAATATTAAAAATACCTAATGATGTTAACATCAGTAACATCACTGATTCTATTAATATCAGTAATATTAGTATCAATATAACAAACGACATAGAAATTCTAGGTTCCAAAGCTAGCTTGGGACATTATCAGAAACTAAGGCAAATAATTAAGATTTTTAAATTATTCATAGCTCAATTGATGTTAATATTTACTAATAAAACGTGCTCTGATATATAAACTATATTTTGTTCTAAATCCCAAACCTTAACATACTTAATCACCTACGGTAGGTAATATGTAATTTTTATATACGAGATCTTTTATAATAAAATAACTATTTCGAAAGAGATATTTCGTTAAAATATTATTTAATAAATGTGTTAATAGATACAAAAATATAACATGAATTATAACTATCTTTTCGATACGACACGTAATCATGACCATTATTGGTAAATTTTAATTGTATTTACCAGTCATTTTTTATTTAAATTATTTCCCATTCATCACTCCTATCGTTTTCAATCTTATTATTTTTAGCGGCATTAGAAAGTTCAAATGTTGTAGATGAACCATCTTGTATTTTTTGGACTTTTTTAGGAGTGGCATCAGAACATTCCTCACTATGCATAATCTCAAATAGATCTTGTTCTTGACTATCAGCTAACATCTTTAATTTATGAACTTCATCCTTTTTAAGAATGTCGCAAAGGATATTAATCACACAGTTAGCAACATCAAGTGTATTAATGGTTTTAATTCCAACATTCGGATTTTCGTTAGATAATTCCAAAGAAATTTTGGAATCATTGTCATCACCGTTAAGAATTTTATCATTTTCCATATATGAAACACTATTTGAACCAGAAACTGTTAAGAGAGATTTCAATTGAGATTTTAAATCGTCGATGGTTTTATGATCTTTTCCTGTATCTTTTTCAAATAGAATTTTTAAATTTGAAGTTAATCTTTCTTCTTTCTCTTTAAACTGTTCTATAACATCAGTTGCGGTTGAGAGTGCTGAAGTTAATTTTATTTCTTTCTCTTTAAGTTGTTCTATAATATCAGTTGCGGTTGTGAGTGCTTTTTCAATCTTTGCGTAATCACTACGAGATTTGGAAATTTGTTGCTGTAAGTCTTCTAACTGAGCATTAAGATCTAACTTAGTTAATTCCAGAGCCCAAACTTGTTCATTTAATTCATCTAATAATAATAATAATAATAATAATAATAATCGCTATTAAGAATTAAGAAGTTCGTTACATTAAATCAAAAAATACGTGTTAAACTTTTAAACTTAATTATACCTTTAGATTCCTGATGTGCTCGTAAGTTTTTATTAAGTTGTTCAATGGTACGCTCTAATTCAGCCTTTTCAACCTCTAGTTCTTTTGTTATTCCTTCTTTTTCATGTAATAGAGCTTGTAGACGCCTAACCTCTTGCAATAAGCCTTGACCTATTTCTGTAGCAAACTCTATACCTATTTGACTTTTTGTAGTGATACGATCACGCTTTGAGGCTCTTCCTGATGACGTAGTTGAAGTTGTTGACTTTTCTACAGCAGGCACCGTTGGAACAAAAACATTCGGTAAATTTAACCCTAATGCTACCTAAAAAATAAAATTTAAAAGAAGGTTAACTCTTTGCACATTCACTACTACTATTAATCATTTAAGTCAATCCCGTAAGTTTATAAATTTAAGCACCATTATGCTTAAATATTTTGGGTTGAATTTACGTATGACTTTTAAGTGGAAAATGCAATATGTAATTATTAACATTGTTTTCATTTTATTAAAATAATAAAAACCTTTGCAGAGTTTTGATATATAAATCTATCTTCTTTTTCAAGGTCAGTTAATTTATTTCTTAATTCTTGAGGGACGTCATTATATTCAATTTTATCTAACTCTTTTATTTGCCTTTCTAGTTCTAATCGTCGTTTTGCAAGAGCAGTACTTAAGTCAGCAGTTAATTGTATTTGAGTAGTATTTTCGTTCAGTTGATCTTGTAACTTTTTTTTTAATGTAGTTGATTGTGCATTGTTGATGTATAAAGGTAGGTGTCGTATTGGATCAGAAATATAAATTTCAAAGTTATTTAATCTAGTTCTCAAAGTTGCAGAGACTAAATTATCGCCACTCTCTAAATTATTTGCCATTTTATTCTATTGATTAAATAAAGCAAGTAATGTAGACAATAATAATGTGCTTATACTTATTAGTATACTTTAAACATAAAAGATGGATTTTAAATAAGTTGCAGGATCTTTAGAGCTAGTAAGTTGGTTTATTTATTACTGTAATATACTATCCAAAGTGCAATCACTTTTCCGATGATAAAAGAGACGACAATTGACATTAGACAATCTATTCCACAAAGACCAACATTTGTAACAGTAACGGAGAATTTGTAACGGAGAATTATAGCAGAGAAATTCCGATTCAACTTATTTCGGAAAATCTTACAGGAGGGCGTTAAGGTTATTCGGATTTTGTAGTATTTTTTTAAACCTGGAAAATAACTTGATTAACAATCACCACAAGATTTGTAAAAAGAGCTTCTGCGTGGTCGACTTACGTCATTATTCGGTAATCTCTATACTATTTATACAAGTGTGAACTTGCTAGTTAGACCATATAAAGTTAGTTGAATATTTTTTTTTCTAAAAAAAGTCGGCCGGTAGAATTAAACTTCATACTGTAAAACTTGTATCATACAATATGTGATTACAAAACCAATCAAATCAATTAAAAAATCTAATATTATTTATTATTTATAACGATAAAGCTTACTCTTTAATATAATTTTAAATAGTAATTCTCCCTATTTTAGTTACCTTTATTAGATCTGTATAAATGTAGTACATAATACCATACATATTATCGATCTACTACGTAAGCTACCCCAGTAGGACATGAAAGATCGACGCAGGTTAGGTGCACCAATCAACAATTGATTCTCTATGAAACCGCTTTCTGCGTACGGTACTAACAAAAAAGATCCGCCGTACAAGATAAGCCCTTTTTCGGTCACAACTCTAACCCAAACGTAAGGTTTTATTATTTTAAAAAATTTTAATTATATTTAATTAGTGTAGATCATCTGATTGGTACATATTGTCGATCTTTCATGGTCTCACTAGGGTAGTTAAAAATTACTACGTAATAAAATTTTGGATTCGGAAAATATGTACCGGGTTTGCTCTTGAATGTAACATGATCTGGAAGATTCAAAACATACCCATAACTCAAAAATCAGCATAATAAACCGCATTTTGTGCTCTGACAACAAGTTTTCGTTGGACGATTTTACCATTACAATTACTCCCTAACTCCTGATGCTGACCCTAACCCTAACCTTACCGAATTTTGTCTGCGCCACAAACCCGGTACATGTTTTCTGAGTGTAATCCCTAATCCTAACGCTAATGAATTTTATAAAAGCTTATCGGTTATCACGTGATAATGGAATTTTGTTGGCGCATCTGGATAAGATCGTTAGGCAAATTCTCGAGTTAATATACAGCTTTATTATATAAGGTAAGTATGGTATTGTGACGCAGTTGCGACCCAGCGATCAGGATCGGATAATTTTTATGCCATTAGATTCGTCTCATCGAGACGAATCGAATGGTACAAAAATCATCCGATTCTAATCACTGGATCAAAAGAAACCAGATTTATAATTTAGTCTTCTTATAAGAAATTATCGTAACATGCCAAAATTGACCTTTTTTTACTAAGTAAATGGATCTTAGTGAATTAAGTAAAGTTGTTAGAAATACAAAATTCTACGTAATATAAAATTTTGGTAAATTTTGGATAGCTTTTTATTAATAAACTTTCCTCTTATACGTTTCTGCGCCAGTGATATAATTATGGCGAAAAATCGTATAAAACGAAAGTGCATTAATAAAAAGTTATCCGAAATTTACCAAAATTTTATATTATGTAGATGTTTGCATTGCAAACAACTTTACTTAATGTACTAAAGTTGATTTACTTAGTAAAAAGAGTCAATTTTGGCATGTTATGATGACTTTTTATAAGGAGACAATTATAAAACCAGGTTCTTTATTTAAGTGAAGATATCTCTTGCTCCAGTGATCAGAATCGGGTGATTTTTATACCATTCGATCAGTTCGATGAGACGAATCTAATGATATAAAAATTATCTGATTCCAATTACTGGATCACAAATTATTGACTTATAAAAATTATTTGATTCTGATTACTAAATCACAAATTATTGACTGTAAAATTTATATGCGTCATAATACCTATATTATACTATTTATTGTTATTTTTTTATTATTTTTTAAAATGAATATATCTTATGATTCAGTAATTAAAGTCAGATGATTTTTATACCATTTGATTTATCTTGATAAGACAAATATAATAGTATAAAAATTATTTGATTCTGATTATTAAATTATAAATTATTAGTTATAAAACTTATATACATTATAATATCTATATTTATTTTATATAAAAAAAATAAAAATAAATTATAAAATAAACATATATATATCCTAGAATTTTTTAGTGAAGAATATATTAACCTTAGTCTTCTTTAAGATATATGTTTAAAAATATAACATAAAAGATATACTACAGAATAAAGATATTAATTTAAATCTGGTTTTACTGTTAAATTACAGTATACTTTCTCAAATATGATATGTATAATGGATTTAATATATAAATTATATTTAAAAAATTTTTATTAATATATTTTTTTAAGTTAAAGTTTTTATCTTCAAAAAATAATATTTTATTTAACTTTGTAGAATACAAGTACTTTTAGAGGTTCTCTTACATTAGAGGTTACAATTAGTTATATGTATATTTTTAGTATTTAATTTAAGTAGTCCACTTATATATTACTATACAGGTTCTATACTAGATGTCATATTTGCAAGCTAACTATAAGTTTTGTTTATTTAAATCTTTTGTATATACAATCCTCTTATATTATAAGAACATCTTAGTTTATTACTTATTTAAGTTTCTAATGCTTATCAGTATCTTTATTCTCAACAGATAATTTACTAGAACTTATTATGTCTTATATATAGCTAATTTAGTTTTATGCAATATACTATAGTTATCTAACACTTGCAGTTATAGAAATTACTTGTTTAACTATTATATTACATTATTTTTAATTTTATAAAATTTATTAGAACCTCAGCATTTATCTTTCTGACACCTTTTTCATCATCTTTTACTAAATATTATTTAGAACTAACAAATTTTGATCAAACTATCAATCTAAATAGTTTAATATAATATATTTCTATATTTTTTTTCTCTATTAAAATTTAGCAGTCTGGTTAGTTATATGCTTTTCTATATATAGTTGCTATTTGATTTTATTTAATTTGTTCTTTTGAGAATATTTTATAGTTTTTAATTAGTTTAATAGTATTATTAAAAGTTTATAATACCTTTTATTTGAGAATTTTCAAGTAAGTTTCTAGATTTTTGGTTTTTTAGTCTTTTATATACAGTAGTCTTATTATAAGTTTGCATCAAAGTCTTATATAACATTAGTTAGTAATATTCTTTTATATATATATAATGTTATACTTTATATAGATATTATAAGTTTCTAATATTAGATAAAATCTGATTTGGTATACCTAAATTACAACCATATAAGGTTAACCAATCAATAAGAGATAATTATTTTAATATAAATTAATTTTTAAATTTTGTAACAGGTAAAATTTGAACATTAAATCTGTTACTTAGAGAATAACAATCTAATTACTATATTAAAATTGTCATTCTTATTTTTATTAATATTATTAACTTTAATCAAACAAATAATAATATTTTTTAAATCATATTCTAAACAAATTTGTCTAGAAAATTGTATTTAGTATTTTTTAAATAAAATAATAATTTATTAATAATATATAATATAATTTGCTTATTAAATATATTCCTAAAAACATATTTTATAAACTTATTATAAAAAATTTTTTAAAATATTAATAAAATTTTATATATTAAAATTTTAAGATTAGATTTAAAAATTTTTACTATTAAAAACTTTTTAAGATTTTTTAAAATTTCATATATTTCTAAAGCTAAAAAAAATTTTATACTTTGTACAAATCTAAATTTTTATAAATAAATTGCAAAAGTGTTACTAATAAAAATTAGTATTCTTTATAAAACTAAAATATTGTATTAAGAACTATAAGCTTAAAATTAATATTTAAAAAGTCCATCAAAAATTTATAAAAAATTTTTTTG